CTAACACAGACTCATCTGCTTTAGTCACAGAGTCAAGTTGTGCATGACTCCAGAGATAAAAGTTTTGTCAACATCTGAAATCAACCTAAATCGGATAGGAGACACTTTAATAGTCACAGTTTGAATTAAGTACTTAACACTCTCCCTGCTGAAGAAAAATGGCACTTTGTAGGCTCTCTTTCCTATTTTTGCCGAAATCTACAATATACCTGGTGTTTTATTACAGAGAGAATTCAACTGCGACAGGCATAGTAGAATACTTAATACCCAGGATGGAGCTCATGGGAAGATTACCTAGATATATGGAGAGTGGCCCTCTGCACAGGGTCTTTGACTTTATACTCAGCTGTCCCAGGGTGCTCACATTCCCCCACTTCTCAGCCTCCTTCCTATCTGGGTATCACCATCTCTCCTCTGACCCTCTACTCCCCTGAGCTTCCAAACCATACTGCTCTTTTCACCACTGCCTTCCCTCCAGCAATTTCAACACCGAAAGAGATCAATGACTCTTTGAAATGGAAAGAAAGAAAAAACTGGAAGAATCAACGTAGCAAACAGAAACCTGGGGCTTCCTGTCTGGAAGAGTGGGTTCTGCATAGGCGATAGGCTATTCTTCTCACTGGCTTGGTCTCTGCATGCCTAGCCGAGGTCTTGTATTGAAGAACAGAGGCTCACCCTTCTCATCGGCTTCTCCTGTTGCCTTTCTCCATATTATACAGGGATCCAAGAATAATTTGCTTCTCTCAAAGTGTATGGGCTGGGAAAAATAGGAGGAGGAAGAGACATGTGTTCTAACTCTTTGATAGCATCAAGGAGGCTGCTGAGGCTGTTGTGAAATATTCTCATCTGAAACTTCTGTCTTAGAACTCTGCCTGTCATGTCTTCTTCTCAAGGCCCCAAGCTCATGGAGTAACCTCTGCCTCGCCCCCTTTCAGGCCAGCCCCAGTCTTTCTGGAATTGATTCCTGGGGCTAAAAGAGATCCCCTGATGGAAAGAATGTCCCAGGTGAAAGAGAACTAGAGGCCATTTTGGTTCAGTCTTCTCAGTTTACCGAGGAGGAAACTGAGGCATCTGAACGCTCCCTGCCAATGTTCTTTATGTTATGAATGTGTAGATTGAATAGAGCCTTTGGTCTCCCCTTGAGTAGAGTAAGTGCACAGAAATCTTTTTGGTGGAAGGCTATTCTTCCTGGAATGGACTAACATCTGGGTTTACACTTGGCCTAGATGGCCACAGGTGTGCTCAGCCAGGTTAGAAGGGTAGGTTCTTGCCTGATGAGTCATCGAAGCACCCAAAGTGATTATATAACCAAACCTTCTTAGCCACAGTGCTGATAGGTGGGCTGACGTCTGGGCTCAGGAGGGGACAGATGTCAGGGTCCTGGGAGAGTAGTGGACATCCCACTGTCCACAGTTCTCATAGTCCCAGAATGACGAATTTTACTGTGCTCACCCTGGGATTTCACTGGCGTTCCCTTGCCCCCGCTTGTCTGCTTTCAGGATGCCTGGGAACTAAAAAAGCCAACCAAGAACCCTGGTTGCAGCAGATAAAGGTGTAGTGCCTGTTTGAGAGATTGAAATTGTAATCTTTGAGGTCACGTGACTCATTAAATAATTAATGCGAATCATCAGGAATGGATAGGAGTCTTCAGGGCCTCACTAGGAATGAATCTCTCAGAAGTGAGACCCCCAACTTCCTATTTGATTTTTAAACACACACACCCTCATATTTATCTCCGAAGGCTTTTAACTCCTTCAAGAGGGCTGGAGAGAGCCCTTGAGCGGGGAGGACCCGAGCTGGCGGGCCCACGTGCGAGGTTTCTGCGAGTCCGGGGTGCGCGCCGCGTCCAGGGAAACGTGAGTTCGGGCTCGGGTTTTCTGCGGTCACATCCTGGCTTTGGTGATGAAGTGAGACGGATGCGCAGACAGTTGGTAATGTTCTGATTCACGCTGGGAAAGGCTGCGGAGATACCATAGGACCCGCGCGCGGCTTTGTTCAATTTTCCCGGTGTTCATAAATCACCCGCGCCCGGCGAGTGAGGGAGCAAACGAGCGCCAAAAACGCGGAGAGAGGCCACAGCGGCGGCAGCGGCCATTGCAGAGGAAGTGTAGGGACCTGGGCCACATCTCTTTGTGACTCATTACTCTGAACGATTTATGGGGAACAGCAGCCATGAATATTAGACTTGGGGATAAGGAAATAGTAACAATAATAACCATAATAATTACAATACTTCTAAGCATTGCAGGGGGGCGTGGTGGATGGTGACATAGCTGTTCTTTCTGGGGAGATGTTAAGTGGCAACGTGCAGAGTAGCTAAGCCCCAACTTGCTCAGGGTCCCGGCAGGAGCCCCAAGGCTAGGGGGCACTCCCTTTGGGGGCATAGCGGGCAAAGCTGAACAAGAGAGAGGCTCCCAGCATGGATTCTGAGTCCCAAGTGCCTGATGGAGGGTGAGGGCTGCAGGTCGAGGTGATGGCAGAGGGCAGCTAGCTGCTGGTTTTGGGCCACTTGTTCAATGCACTAGGGGGCCCTGAAGCCTGAGGGTCAGGGGACTTGTCAGCTATTTGGTAGCCTCTCTTGGCGCTATCAGCAGGATTGCATGGATGCCGAACAGCCATCAAGGGTTGGTTTGGGGCTGGTTGGAGTGTGGGGAGGCTATGCGGGTTTGGGTGAATGGGGTCGTAGCGAGGGGTGGGTCTGTGGAAGCAACTCGCCCTGCAGAGTCCCAGCCCAGAGGGAACTTCTCCAAGCCGGAGCCCATCCGGGAGGATGAGGATTCTTTGCCCCTTCCTCAGTGTCTTCCCGCCACCCCCGAGTTTGCTGACCACCGTTTGCTAGTTAAAGAGCAAGAGAGGGTTGCAAATATCTTGAGAGGTGAGGTGGCAGCAGAATTAGGGTGTCTAGAGGCTTGTCACTGAACAAGGCAAGGCTGGACAGCCCCCCCCCCCCATATCCAGTATTGTCCCATGTTCATGTCTTTCCCAGTTTCCTCCTATTTCTAGCAGCCAAACTTGGCCTGCTGTGAGGGACTGGACGCTGCGGTAGTCCTGCCAGCCCACTGGGACGGAGAAGTGATGCGCCCAGGGCTTGAATGAACCAGAAGACAAAACCTCTCAAGGCTGTCCCTGGCCCATGGGCTGAGCTGGGGTCTGATTTCGCGCCAAACAGAAATGAACATCGTTAGTGAGGTTCCAGGAGAGTCCGTGATTGAATGCTCCCAGACAAGGCTTCCCTTTGTTAGCAAAAGAAAATAAAGCTTGCATTCACATCCCCCAAGTTGAGGTGCGTGAGGAGCTCTCTTAGTTGAGTCGGCACCAACAGCAAAGCCCTTTCTACCTTCCTATCTTGCTCCGCCTCGTCCATTTTCTTCCTCCTTCCCCCCTTCCCACCCCCTATATAAAGAAAGAAAAAGAAGAGTGTGGGTGCGGAGATGGAGTATATATTTATTTTACAAAAATAAATCACCATCTTCAGGCCATTTGTAGACTGGAATCTTTCGAGCAATGAGTGCGCCGCATGGACGAATGCCCTGGCGACTCCTCCGTGTCCGCGTCACCCGGGGGGCCACCCTGGCGTCCGCGCCGACCGCGCTTCCAACTCCGCTTCTCCAACTCCCTTCCTTCGCAGCCGCCGTTCACCCTCTGCTGTTTATTTGTCCGCAGAGCGCCTGGTCACCGGAGAAGGCGATTCCCTGAGCTCCTGGAGTTGGAGAAAATTTGGGGTTCAGTCTTAAACATCTTTCGAGGTAAGCGCTGCGCCGAAACTCGTCACCGCGCGAGGCTTTGCACCAGGCCTTTGAGAGGAGTTTGCTCTTCCGGCAGCTGAAGCCCTTTGAAAGAGGCGCTGGTCAATATTTAACTTCGAAGGAGTTCTGGAGCTGGGTTCCCTCCAGTTGCACGCTCCGCGAATGCGGGGCTTCTGGTAGACAAAGAGTCTACCCGCAAAGACGGCGTTGGGCAGGAGGGGCGGTCGCAGAGACCAAAGATGTGTGTACTTGGGGGGCCGGCGGGGGGCAGAAGGGTGTATTTGTTGCTTCCGGCAAGTCCCAGACAAACCACTACATGGAGCAGCGGGGCAAAAGCGAAGTAGAGGCCACAGGCGCGTCGGCTGCTGCGTGGGCCGCTGTCCTTGTCCACTACTTGCAGCGCCTGCGGAGACTGTGACTTCGGGAATTGTGGTCAGTCCCAGCTCTGCGTTGAGAAAACTTGTCTCGTCGCCTTGCAGGTTCTCCTGTCCTTTTGCCTTTCCTTGGCATGAGGGAAGTTGCTACATTTCCAAAGTGTAGACCGTTGCAGGCAGCGGAGCTTCTGGCTTCCTTTAGCCGCTTTCCTTCGGCTGACCCGCTTTCCTTCGGGAAAAGCACAGGTTTTCTACGTCTCTGCATTTTCTTTTCCTATTTGGAACAAGGGAAAACTCTTTAAAATTCTTTTCAAGTTCTGGCTTAATTTGTTCTCTTCGTTTGGGATGCAGGGAGGTAATTACTGTGTTTTATTACCTTGTAAAAGATCCATAAATTTCGTGCCTATTTGGGGGAGGGGCTGCTGGAATAGTTTTCAGAAGCTTGGTATGAAGGAATGGGTTTGCTTTGTTCTTTCAGGAATTACTTATTTTTTAAAGTTTTCTTAAATTTTGTTTTCTATTCCCTAGGTCTCACTATTTCCTAAAATGTGTTCCCCCAAATAGGTAGCATGTTTCTAATTAATTGCGACATGCTATTCAGTGATGCTCTAAGGTTGGTATAGTGTTCTGGATACAGTTATTTTGTTAGATAGGAAGTAAACAGAGTAATAGTAAAGTTGGGTTACTTTCTCAGCTACTGTATGTCTATTTATATCAAGTATAGATGGAGCATTTCAGGAATTTGCAACTCAATGTGTACATGATTTGCATCTGCACACAACAGAACCATTGCATGTATAAATAGTGGCAGGAGTTTGAGATCATGTGTATAAAATAATATACATTTTCATATGTATCCAGAGGACTTGGAGCCCATTTGTATTGCAGTTGCACCCCTAGGAAATATCTCATGTTAAGTAATGACCTATAACCGCCACACATACATACACAAAAGTGAGCTAAGAGGGCCTTACCTGACTCTGAGTAGAAAAACCACTAGAGTTAACTGAGAGGAGAAAAATGTTAAGTGTATTTTTGACGGAGAAATCAGATTGCAGTGTTTGAATACAGATATATCTAATCTGCCAACAGCCTTGCAAATATTGACTAAAGCTCTGTATCCTGGGTCACCCGCTTCTCTAGAGACAACTTTTCACCTATGTTGGCTCTGGTGGCCTGGATCCAGAGCGTGTGTCCCCAGCCCTGGCTGGCCAGGTTGAGGGGCTGAGGGAGTGAGTGTGGCAGGCCTTGCAGCTGGGTTTTTGGGCCTGGCAGCTGGGTTTTCGAGCCTGGGCCTAGATCTTTGAGCATCTCTATTCTTGTTCTCTGGAATGGAACTTTAAAAGGCCTTGCTCCAGGAAAGTGGATTTCAGAGTGGCGAAGGAGGATTCTCAGCTGCTGGTCCCCTGGTGGCTTACCCAGATCAAAATCTCTCATAGGGAAGCCATTTTCACCTCAAGAATTAAATTTCTTTTGACTTCCTCAGATTTTTCCCTTCACGTCCCACCAAATCACCCCATCCCACTCCAAGTCGTTAATGTTAATTGTTAAACAGCAGTTGGAGCATTAACAGGGCTGTTAATAGCGGCATGGAAGCTCCTGGCTGGAGCTGAGATGCCTCTGGGCCTTGCTGGCGTTAAGGCATTTCTCTGAAGCACTACCAAAGACTTCTCCCATTGATTTATGGCCTTGGGAATTTCGATTTGCTCCAGACTGTTCTGAGAGTTCCGAAGGTAGCTCCTTCTCATCTTTGAGCTGAAGCCTCTACAGAAACTTTGTTGGGCGTGTGTGTGTGTGTGTGTGTGTGTGTGTGTGTGTGTCTAGTTTCCCAGAAATATAATTCAGCAATACTTCCAGGTCCTTTCTAGGCTATCTGGAGACTTCAGTGTGAAATATTTGGTGTGTATGTTGGGGGAGGAGGAGGGACAGAGGACAGCGTATTAGTGGTCTGAGTCCTTGGTGGGACTAGAGAGTGCTTTTTTGGTAACCAGATTTTGGTCCTGCACACCGCCCCCCCACCGCCCTGCCCCATCCTCACCTCCAAACCTGAGAGGAGTAGGTTTTCACTTAGGGTTCTCACTTTAGCTTAGGTCAGAGCTGGAGAAGTTGACAGAAAGGTTCTCTCTCAGCTGTGTCATGGACAGAACCTTACTGCCACCAGCTCAGGCCAGGACTTACTTGCAAGGGATTAGGTCTCCTCTTCTTTTATTGCCCTTCTGATTTGGACACCCCCATGACCAGGCCCCCTTACTGAGGGCCTTACATTCTTACCAGGCCCCTTCTGTTCCCCTGCAGGGAAGGAGGGGGGAGGGGAAGAATCATACACAGCCTCTGGCAGCTGCTACAAGTTAGTCCTCACACTTAGAGAGGCCTAGCCTGCCAAATACCGACTCTCAAGGAACAAAAGAATATGGCATGAGGATCTTACCACCTCAGAGCACCCCTAAAGTTCAGAAACTAAAACCTGAAAAGAGAAACTTTTCAGACAGCTCATGAGAGGGTGAAGTGTTAAAATCAGTGTCACCAATCAGAAGGCAGGAGTGTGTGTGTGTGGGCGCTTATTTGTTTCAGCCAGGTTCCTCCTCAGCGTAGTTGATCTAGTTCAGTTTCTGCTGCTGGACATGGAGTTGTCTTAGGGGAGGTGAACAGACCTGTCTGCAGAGAGGGTCCCAGATTGTCTTGTAGGTTAATTCAAGGGAGAGAAAGTTTGGTTCTCTCTATTCTTCCCTCTTTTGCAAGACAATTAGATCATTTCCCCATACATTTTCATCATTGGAAACCTATCATTTGTGTATCACTCAGGTATGCACCGAGGAAATGTGTAAGTGCAGGTTTGGCCAGGGCACTGTGTCCCTCCAGATTTTGTAAAATTCTGAACCCAGCACTCTAGAGCCAAGCAGGACTTTCCTAGGGGGCTCCCATGGAATAAAACCAACCAACTGGACTTGGAGGAGGTGCTTTAGCTTTTTGTCAGGTAATGATGGGCCTTTTGGGTTTCTTCAGTGACTGCGGTGTATGGTGTGGGTGTTAGCAAACTCTGTACAATGGCAGGCCTTGAGGGAGTCCACCGACTAGGCCAATTATTACTGAGTTTTCTTCTGGAAACAGGGCTTGGGTCTTGCCTTTAAAATGTTGGCTAGAGGAGATGAGTGTGTGGTGTGCTGGGTTCAGAAGATCCGTGCGTGGGACTGTAAGAAAAGTTACATGGATTCTAAGAATGGGGACAGCATTGTTGTTTCCTTGTGTTTGGATCGAGTGTGAAGAAATATAATCGGAGATAACTGACCTTGTGTGGGCCACATATTGTGACGGGGAGAGATGCCCCCAGTGTCCTACTACCCTAGACAAAACTTTCCTACTGCTGGTCAAGGTCCCTTACGTTCCCCTTCCCCAAAGCTAAATGTTCCGCTCGGAAACCTAGTTCCTTCAGTGATTCCCTATTTCAAATACAAGGATTTAAGTTGACGTATGACCACGTGAGCACATAATACAGTGCATTATTGTGGCATTTGGAGCGGAGACCCGGGCGGCTCGGCTTTGCCTGTGATTACGTTTTCTAGATTCTCTACAGAGCAAGAGCTTTTCCCCCACCCCCAAGCACCCACCTCCTCCTCCTCCTTTCCCTTCTCCGGAGAGCGCTCTCCTAGCGGGTTGCAGTTTTCAGCGCTATGGAGCGGTTCTGGGCCAGCTAGCCGATGGGACTCGAGGCCACACCAGGAGGATGGAATTTATTTTAAGGTATTTCCGTTGATTGTTCATATCCAGAGTGAGTTATGGCTGTGAGAGACAAAGGTCAGACGAGGAGACCCTGGTTCAGGGGCAGGACCCTCAGCCCCTCTCTTCCTTTGTTTCTCCTTTAGAACTGAAACCATTCGAAAGATCCCCAGTAGCACCTCAGACTGAGTTTAATTCCCTGGAAAGTGTTGGGGGTGTAAATTAAGGGGCATTCGGTGGGCCTGGTGGTCTCCAGTTCTAGGGTGGCTTTGTCCACTACAGCAGGGCTTGAGTCCCCAGAGCTGAGCCCTAGGCAGAAGGAGGGTCAGGAAGCTCCCCGGAAGGCTAAAGTGGCGGGCGCTGTGCTCCTGGGCGACACTGCCTGGAGGTAGTGGGGGCTGGGTGAGGGAGAAGGGGAATCGCTCCCCCATTGGTCCTGTTTGCTGGCCAGAGCTGGAGGGCTAGGGCCGACCTGGGCAGCCGGAGCAGCTGGGAGAGGGAAATCAATGAGTGTGCAGAGGTACTGCCATTTTATTGATGTTGCTTTGGGCCACTTTGTTCAGTGCTGGGTTGCAGGATGCGCACGCCTACCCACACACAGGACGGAAGGAGCTGGACCCAGAGGATGCGCCTTTGTTTGCCTGAGCACTCTGCCCGGTAGCGGTGGAGAAGGACTGCTCAGATCTAGAAGAGGCTTGGGGTGGGGGTAAGCATGCTGGATGTCCAGAAGCTTTGCTCTCCTAACATTCAGGAGACAGGAGAAAGAGGGAGCACGAGCTGGGTTTGGGCTTCACAAAGCGCATGGCCTGGCTTCCTCCTTGTATGCCCCCAGCCAACCTGGAGAGTTGGAGGGCTGGCCGGTGCACGGTGGGCTGGAGGGAAGTCTGGAAGCAGATTCTGCAGGAAGCAAAG